CCGAGAAGCAGCAGAGGCGAAGACTCTCCCACACACCACACACAACCCACTCGCGCTCACACTCACACCCGTGTTGGTCATAGACCCCGCTAATCACAATCCGTTGGCACTAAGTGCGCCGCAGGCGGCCATGTTCAGCAGCTAGGTGAAAACCAAGATCTTTGGAAACTAATTTTCAGGACTGAATATCAATTTTCAGTTCACAAAAATACCCTTAGCAAAAAAAATATGTTATTTTAAGTAAGAATACAATCAACTTGTGTCAGGGAGGTACACCAGTTCAAAATACCCTTAGCAAAAAGAATATGTTATTTTAAGTAAATATACAATCAACTTGTGACAGGGAGGTACACCAGTTCAGTAGAAAACAATATGTTCGCTCAGGTTTGAGAGCATATGTCTCGGAACATGTTTGAGCGTTCGAAAAACCCCCGAATACGTTTATCTGTGTCTATGTGTGCGTGGTTGTTCGTGTCTATGTATGTGCCTGTGTGTGAGTGTGGCAGGCAAGGCAAAGGTGTTTTGGGACCACTTTCGGACCTCTGTCTTTATATGTTTTTGTGTGACTGTGTTTGTGCGTGTGGCTGTCTGTGTGTGCGCAGTTGTGTGTGTGTGTCTGTGTGTATGTGTACCTGTGTGTCCATGTGTCTTTCTGTTCTTGTGTATGTGGTTGTCTACGTTTGTGTCTGTGTGTGTGTGGTTGTGTGTGTTTGGTTGTGTGTGTGTGGTTGTGTCTGTCTGTGTGTGTCTCACTTTGTCCTTGTGTGCGTGTGTTTGTCTGTTAACTCGACTGACATAGACGGAGGTGATTAAAGGCCTTTAGTGATTATAGGCCTATAACACTGTTTTGTTAGCCCGAGACACCTTTTACGAGAGAGAGAGAGAGAGAGAGAGAGAGAGAGAGAGAGAGAGAGAGAGAGAGAGAGAGAGAGGGAGAGAGAGTGGTCGTCCACCCAAAGGTAAGTGAACAAGAACTCACGAACAAAAATGAGAGGGTTATCAGAAACAGCCTTTAGAATAAAAATAGAGGGTTATCAAAATTAACCTTAAGAAAAAGAGAAAAGTCCGTCAGAAGAACTAAACCAAATCCGACAAAAGAAGTAAACCAGAGATGGTCCACTAAGTCACTCCACGTGTAAACTAAAGTACCACAATGCACCGAAAACTACCACACCTATGGCGAGTGCCCCTGGGTGGACCTCCCCAGGCCTCGTTCACAGTAATGATGACACTCTCAAAATTGTCAAYGGAACGCATGGTTCCCAGTACAACGGAACACATGGTTCCCAGTAATGATGACACTCTCAAAATTGTCGACCTATTGCGGTCTGACCCACGAACCGAGTGCGCCTGGTTCCCACTTCCACGACCTAAAAAGGAAAGAACTAGCCTACTCTACGCAATAACAATTCTGCAAAAAAATGAAGCCATGTGCCCTCGTTCCTCTAAATGGCTACAACACACAAAGGAACACATGGTTCCCACTTCCACGACCTAAAAAACAGAAAGCTAGCCTACTCTACATAGTAACAATTCTGCGGAAAACGGAGCCATGTGCCAAACCACATAGCTCCAACCACGAAGGGACAACGACCAATCCTGGGAGAGGCATCCAGGCAAAGCAGCACACATTCCGACAACGCAGGGGCGGCGATCAATCCTGGGAGGGATGCGGACAAAGCAGCACACACCAGGGGAGTCTCGTGTACGAATACGGCTTGGTTTCTCTTCTCGCACCAATTGCGAGAGGCGCAATCCTTGCTAGATGGACCGTTGTCGATCCTGCTTCGGCTCTTTGACCGGAGCGCACCAAGCAAATCATTATTCGACATCAACGAATGGCAACTCCAAGACCACAAACCACAGGAATCCACACAGGAGACTCGTGAACAAATAAAGCTTGGTTTCTCCTCTCGCACCAATTGCGAGAGGCGCAATCCTTGCTACATGGATCGTTGTTGATCCTGCTTCGGCTCTTTGACCGGAATGTACCAAGCTATCCCGCAACTGTCCACAACGGGGCACTGAAAACGTCATTTAGATTGTGTAGAACCTCCACAACGTCCGACTCCGGAAACGGCTCATTATCAGATGCGTGGCCCTCGTGCGCGAACCCGTAAGGGAAGTCGAAAATAGCCAGAGATATCGGCAACTTTTCTGTCTGCAGCTTCGACAACAAGCGCATGTCGCCATTGATAGATTTCACTTCCGTCGAGCCGTTGTCGTGTGTCACCTCCGTCCACTCGACGAACGGCTTCACGAGAGGTTTCGTACGGAACGCGTAAATAGAGTTCTTTGCTTGCAGTCTCCTCTCCTTGTTTTTCCATTCAATGGCCCGTTTAATATGGCCATCTAGTGCGGGGATACTCGTCTGACCCCTTCTGATGCCAATAACGAACTTCTCCAAAATCTCTTTCTTTGTGTGGAGAGGATACTCCTTCTCGGCGTCCTTGAAGTCAGCAGCGCCCACCCCCACTGCGAATGCCTTGCAGACGTAGGCGATTTGCTTGACAAGTTGGAACTTCTTCTCCATCTCCTTGAGCGAGATCTGCTTCGCAATGACCTCAAGGAGGATAGAGACGGCGTTCTCTGGAACCATACTACCCATGGCTATCCATTGTTGCGCTGGCATGTCCTCGGCGACCATGGGGACCTTGTTACCCTGCAGTTACACCCGTGGATAAAAAAGCGTCATTTCTTGTTCCTTCGCAGCCGCCCGATCAAGCCTCTTCCCACGCTGGCTTTTCTTCGCGCCCTTGGACTCGCTCGTCTCCAGATCCTAATTCGCTTTCAAGAAGCTCCTCGCAGCCGGCTTCAGTTTTTGGCCTTTGACCTCGCCCTTCTGCCACATGCTCATGATCTTACACACGAGTTCCCAAATCTCTTGGGGTTTGAAAGCACACTGCAGCAACGGGTCTTGGGCGTTCAATTTTTTCGCCGCGTTCGGAATCCCTGCTTCTTCCAGGCAAGCGAGCTTCACTTCTTGTGACTTGACGCACCCCCTGCTCTCAAAGACTTGGCGCGAGCACCTCAGCTTCTCGATGAAGCTCAAGTCCCTGTGGTAACCCGCCGCAAGGTTATGCCTGTGGGCAAGTTGCCTCGCCTCATCGATCGTGAGGCCAACGTAAACATAGCACACATTGTACTGGTACTCCTTGTTGTCGGGGTTCATGCGTGCTAACCGCTCCCTCGCTTCCCGACTCTGGCCACCACCAAGCACAAAAATGTCATAGTCGCCGACTCTCAGTTTCGTCAAGCTCACGGCTTCTTTGCGCCCGGCCTAGGTAGGGTCGACGAGGCCAACGAAGGGAAGATGATCTTCAGTTGGCTGCTTCAGCATGGAGTCCATGATGGACTTTACATGGTCCTCGTCCGGCTCTTTCACTTCCATTGGTCTTTTCCCATTCACCAGGGCAACATAAAAATTCCCATGAGAAATGAAAGTTTAAAAAACATTCCATAAAAAGAAAATCCTTCATATTTATAAATTATTATTCCAATGTTCGTCCAATTCTAAAATTTTAAATTTCGTTTGACAAGTTCCCATCTAAATATGAGTTTTCCCTTCCAGCTACATCTATTTGTTCAAAATGGAATGAAAGTCGGGACGAGTTTATGAAATGTCTTAATTAGATTTTCATTCTACTACAACAAATATCTTCTAATTTAGATTGGATTAATCTATTTATGACTGAAAATCCTTACTTAGAATGACAATCCAATTAAAATATTTCATGAACTCATCCAGACTTTCATTCCATCTCTAGCATGCAGTTCAAATAAGAACGGACACCCCATTCTTGGAAGGAAAGTTTTCAAGTAAGACGGAAAATTTTAAAATTAGAATGACATTTTTTCAGATGGAATGAAAATTTAAAATTTTGAGTGTAATTTTACTATAGAATGATTATTTAATTCTGGGAATTTTTTTTGTTGGGGTGGCCTCTTCAAACATCTCATCGGCAGGTAAAATGACTCGTGTGAAACTTTCTTCTCCTTCAAACTCTTCAACTCCTCTCAAGTTTTTGTCAAATCTTCTGTGCGCTCGTTCGACACGAAACCTTGGGGTACTTGGAGTTCCTCTTCCCTTCCCTTCCCCTCCCCTTGCCCTTCCGGACGGGGCGGACCCGGTGTGACTGTTTTCTTCCCGCGAATCTTCCCGGGAATCGTCTTTGTGCCCGATTCCCTTTCCAGACTACCGGAAGACCCGACAATGGTTTAAGGAGAAATCACATCTTTGGGGCGCCGCGACCTCGCTTTCGAGCCACCCTTCGTGGCCGTCGTCGTCGTCGTCGTCGTCGGAGTTTGTGATTTTTCTGCTTCCTCTGCATACTTTAAAGGAAGAAGTTTCTCGTCCAAATTTGCCCGTAAGGACTCTGAAAATCCTTTCACGAATGGCTGCGCAACACATTGAAAGCAGAAGAAAAAATAATGGTCGACCAAGTGTGTCAGAGAAACTTATAGGCCTATAACACATACTTAGAGCAACACTTCGTACGACAAGTGCAATAAAACAACGCAAATGTAAAAAAACATTACAGGTCTGCAACCTCAAAGAGTCGAACTTCTGGAAACGAGGAGGACGCAGTCAATGTTATAGGACTATAACTTCCCAGAAACAAGGAAGACGTAGTGGAAGTTACAGGCCTACAACTGTCAGAAACAACATTAACTTTCGAAAAGGCCATGGAGGTTCAGACTTGTAACTTCCACGATGTATCCGGTAGTTATAGTCCTATAACTTCCACGGCGTTACTGGTAGTTATAGGCCTATAACTTCCACGGCGTATCCGGTAGTTGTAGGCCTACAACTCTCGGATACGCTGTGAAAGTTGTAGGCCTATTCCTTCCGGTTACGCCTTCAAAGAAACGAAATGAAACTTGGAGCTCTGCAACTTCCTGCGAAGAGAGACATGCAGTGGGAATTAGGGAAGATGAGAGCATTTACCATGCAACCAGTCTTGTTTAATGCCAACAATTTCTTGTTTTGGATGGGCATCTTCATGGGCATTAATTTATCCCCCTTCAACAAACATTTAGTGAGCTTGCCCTTGATAACGACCCACAACTCCGCGATAAGATATTTTTCCGTCACGTGCGCTGCAAATAAAATTTCGCCGATTCGTGTATAGACACCGTTGCCGCTGGTCTTGACGTGAAGATAAGCTAATCCAGCTGTGACATACACGGCCCAAAAGAAGTACTTGAAGTCACTGCGAACGGGCCTTGACTCCAGGAACTCTCTCTGTCAGCTGCCGTCCTCCTCGATTAGATCTTCTTCCTCGTCCTCTTGCTCTTCTTCTTCTTCTTCTTCTTCTTCTTCTTCTCCTTCCTCTTCTTCTTCTTCTTCTTCTTCTACTCCTTCCTCTTCCTCTTCCTCTCCCTCTCCTTCCTCTCCCTCTCCTTCCTCTTCCTCTCCTACGCCTTCTCCTGCCACGAACTCTCCTTCTTCTAAAACATATTCATCCTTATCTCCTTCTCCCATTTGGGGAAAATCATCCTGCTCCAGTGGCCGCCTTTGCTGCACAACCCCTTCGGAGCACGCCGGCTGCCTCCGAGAAGACACTGTGCCGGTTATTCTTGCACTCCTCCCCTTGCTCGCACCCCTCGCGCCTCGGGATGTCTTCATCATCACGAATGGACTGCACGCAAAGAGCCATCCAAAACAAATGTCAACCACGGTAAGACTGGTTACAGGGCCCTAGCACCCCTGCTTGTTTTGCCCGTGTGTCTCTGTGCCCGTGTGTGTCTGTGTGTGTCTGTGTGTGTCTCCTTGTGTCCGTGTGTGTCTGTGTGTGTTGCTCTTCGTATGTGTGCGTGTCTGTGTGTGCGTCTGTGCCTGTATGTGCGTCGTTGTTTGTCTCTGTTTGTTTGCCTCTGTGTGTGTGGCAGGCAAGTCAAAGGTGTTTGTCGGCCATAAGCACTTTTGGGACCACTTCCAGGCCTTTGTTTTCATGTGTGTCTGTGTGTCTCTGTTTGTGTGTATGGTTGTCTTTGCATGTGTGTATGTGTGTCTGTGTGCCTCTGTATGTGTGGCAGGCGTGTGTTTGCGTGTGTGTGTGTGTGTGTGTGTGTGTGTGCGTGTGTCTGTGTGTTCTTGTGTGTCTGGTTGTGTGCGTCTGGGGAAACTGATTGACAATACAAGCCTGTGTCTTTATGTCTTTATGTCTTTATGTCTGTGTGTGTCTGTGTGCGTCTGCGGTAACTGGTTGATAATACAAGCCTGTGTCTTTAGGCGAGAGTGATTTAATGCCTGTGTTGGTTCTGGGGAAACTTTTTGACAATACAAGCCTGTTCTTGTGTTCGTGTGTGTGTCTCTGTGCCTGTGTTCTTGTGTGTGTGTCTAACAGTGATTTTAGGCCTTTGATTTTCTTGGGGAAACTTTTCAGCACTTCAAGCCTGTGTTCTTGTGTGTGTGTCTATGTGTGTCTCTGTTTGTGTGTGTGTGTGTCTATGTCTGAATGTCTGTGTGTGTGTGAGTGTATGTTTGTGCCTTTGTGTGTGTGTGTGTGCGTGTGTGTATGTGTGTGTCTAACTGTGTCCTTGTGTGTGTGTGTGCGTGTGTGTCTGTGTGTGCGTGTACCTATGTTTGGGTGTGTGTGTGTGTGTGTCGGTCTGTGTGTGTCTAGCTGTGTCCTTGTGTGCGTGTGTCTGTGTGTGAACTCGACTGACACAGATGAAAGTGGTTAAAGGCCTACAACAGTTATGGGAATGTGCTTGTGTTAGTCTGAGCCACTATGCACAGACAGACACAGGCACGGAAACAAACACATAAAGACAGACGCACACAGACACGGGCTGTGTCTGTGTTCGTGTGCGGTGCACAAAAAGACATACGAACACAGACACGGATTGTGCCTGTTTTTGTCGTTTTTGTGTGTTGGTGTGCGTGTATCTGTGTGTGTCTAACTGTGTCCTTGTGTGTGTGTGTCTGTCTGCCTGTGTTCTTGTGTATGTGTCTGCCAGTGATTAAAGGCCTATGATTTTCTTGGGAAAACTTATCAGCACTTCAAGCCTGTGTTTTTGTGTGTGTGTCTGTGTGTGTGTCTGTGTCTATCTCTGTTTGTGTGTGTGTGTGTCTCTGTCTGCACGTCTGCGTATGTCTGTGTGCCTGTGTTCTTGTGTGTGTGTCTGTGAGTGTATGTTTGTGCCTGTGTCTGTGTGCGGCCTCGGGCACAAAAATATGCGAAGGTGCTTGTAGGCGTTAAACACTTTTGGGACCGTTATCAGGCCTCTGTCTTTATGTGTGTCTGTGTGTCTGCTTGTCTGTGTGTCTGTGTTTGTGTGTGTGGCTGTCTGTGCGTGTGTGTGTGTCTGTGTGTCTGTGTTTGTGTGTGTGGCTGTCTGTGTGTGTGTGTGTGTCTGTGTTTGCGTGTACCTGTGTTTGCGTGTGTGTGTGTGCGTGTGTCTCTGTGTGTGTGTGTGTATCTGTGTGTTCTTGTATCTGGTTGTGTGCGCCTGTGCCTGTGTGTGTTTGGTTGTGTTTGTGTTGTGTCTACTTGCGTGTGTCTAACTGTGTCCGTCTAACTGTGTCCTTGTGTGCGTGTGTCTCTGTGTGAACTCGACTGGCACAGACGAAAGTGTTTATAGGCCTATAACAGTTCTGGGAATGTGCTTGTGTTAGTCTCTTCCAGTGTGCACAGACAGACACAGGCACGGAAACAGACACAAAACGACATACGCACACAAACACGGGCTGAGTCTGTGTTCGTGTGCGGTGCACAAAAAGACATACGAACACAGACACGGATTGTGTCAATGTGTCCGTTTGTGCCTCTGTCCGTGTGTGGCCGTGACCATGTTTCTGTGCGTGTGTCTGTGCGTGTCTTTGTCGTTGTGTGTGTCGGTGTCCGTGTATCTGTGTGTGTCTAACTGTGTCCTTGTGTGCGTGTGTCTGTGTGTAAACACGAGTGCCGCAGACCAAAGTGATTATAGGCCTATACTGGTTCTGGGGAAACTTTTTGTCACTACAAGCCTGTGTCTTTGTGTCTGTGTGTGTCTGTGTGCCTGTGTTCTTGTGTGTGTGTCTACCAGTGTGCGTTAGTGTCTATCCCTGTTTGTGTGTCTGTCTGTGTCTGCGTGTCTATTTGTGTTGTGTAAACACGACTGTTTGTGCGTGTGTTTGTCTGTGTCTCTGTGTTCTTCTATGCGTCCCTGTGAATGTATGTTTGTGCCTTTGTATGTGTGACGGCCCCCTTTCTCCCGGTGCTTCGAGGTTTGATTTTTGGAAAGACTTTGGTCTTAGCATGGGACGTTGGACCCGGTTTTCAAAACAGTAGTCGGGATGGACCTGGAATAGAGGTAGGTCAGCGAGCCTGCATTGTAAGCAAAACTGGCTGATACTGCCATGGTAACTCCGGGTTGAATTGTGAGGCCCCCAGCCTCGTCCCAGGTTTTCGCAGTAATGAAATACTTAATATTTCCCCCCCCCCAAAAAAAAAAAAAAAAACGTCCGTACCTTGTTTTCTGGTTGAGACGGTAGGGTGCCCGACATCCGCTAAGGATTCCCTTTCCTTCTTAGTTGACTGATTGATTGATTGATTGGTTGGTTCGCTGGAACCTCGGCTTCTCCGGCCTTCCCCCGCCTTCTCCAAACTTCCCCAGACATTCCCCCC